AAATATGTATTTCTTTTTTCCAAATGTGAGAATTTTGAGAATCTCTCATTGGTTTCTGGAGAGTTTTTGCCATGAATTATCGTCAGTAAAGGAAGCATTGAAATAGTAATCGAGTAATAAGTGGTTGTTGGTGCCTAGTTTGAAACTGTTTAGCAATGCGCATCCACACACACACACGGCCTCACTGGTTGCTGAACCCAAAATCTTCAGGTTCTTAAACTGTTCGGATACTAGATCTGAATCTACTTCTGTTGATTGATGAAATACCCCCAAGGATATCTAATAATGTCAATTAGTATCTCTCTGCATACCTCCCTCGATTTATGCTATTTTTAACAGTAATAATAATACAAGTGGTAGCTTTATTGTGAACAATGTTTATGTAATGTTCAGAATCTTCATCAGAGTTGTCTGCTTGTTTTTTTTCTCTTCAAGATAAATAACACTGACTGACAGTAGGCGGTGTGACATAGTTCTATCTGACCTAACGCGAAAACCAATCCATTGTGATATCTCTTCTTTGTCTCTTTCGAGACATTTTGTTGAATGCCAAATGTAAAACGTTCAGGAGAACATTTTGTGAACCGGGGAAGACCGGTTATCTCATATACTGGGATAGGCTGCCATCGGTGATGATACTTCTTCTCATGTTTAGTAGAAACTTGTGAATTAACAGTTTAATAATGTGAAATATTCTCATATCATGAATTAAAAGTCAATCTGAAGGAGGAATATTCTTTTCATTGCATCCTTCTCCACTTCAGGTTCTTACAATTATAAAACAATTATTATATTTGTTATCGTTACAATAATGATGGCCAGTTATGTGGCAGATACATTTTTAACGTAGAATAATAGATTAGCAGTTATGGGGTGTCAAAATAAATAGTCGTATTTGTGTGACACACTTCATGCTCTGGGTTGACTGAAATCGATTGCAAAATATTTCGGTGAAATGGGAGACGATGTCGTGGTGATTAGTCGTCATAATAGATTTGTACAGTGTGGGTTAGAAAAATTGAAAAGTCAGTTCAAGGTTATAAAAGGTGTCAGGTGAGTGCAGTGGCTAGGACAAAGTGGTATGCATTCAAGAGGAAATAGAAAGACTGCAATGAGAGGTTCATAATAAAACAACGAATGTGTGAAATGAGACAGGTGGAGGCATATATTGAGAAAAGAGATAATATCACTAATAATTAATAAGTCCGGATAGTATAAATGGAAAATTCGATAGTATTGAGAGAATGTTTGCATGAAGGGCATAAGTTATGTCGAATAATAATTATAATCATAATTGTAATAATAATAATTGTAATAACTCTGAAGCGTATTATCACGTCTGCAATGGTTTTTAGTGCAATTTTCTACCATTATGCGACTGTTTTGCAGTTGAATTCTGATTACCGATTTAGATGTATTCTGAATAGTTCGCAGTCGTCACCGTATGTACATTTTCTTAGAACTTCTATAAATGTCTGTGTCTCGATAACATCCCCGTTAAACTGTTTCTCAATGCTACTACCATCTCTTATAACACACGTTTAGGTAATGACATTCGTGAGTTATGTAATAATACTTGTGATAGCTTTATTCTGAACTATGTATAAATAATGTGCAGAATCTTCAGCAGAGTATCTGCTTGATATTTTCTCTTCATGCAGGATCTTCAAATAAAAGATTAACTGACAGTACATCGTGTGACACAACAGTCCTATATGACCTGAAGAGCAAACCAATCCTCCTTATGACATCTCTCGTTTGTCCCCTTTTGAGAAATACACGACTACATTTTGTTGAATGGCAACTATAGAAAGTTCAGGAGTACATTTTGCGAATCAAGGAGACACCAGTCAGGAACGATCATCTGGCGATATTAAACAATAGGGCCTTAAGGAATGCAAACGATCCAGTGATCTTGATCGCATGCTAGTCGTTGGCTAAGGATAGCTGTTACTACTATAGCACAAATATGAACACTTTTCACCAACTAAAGAGCAAATTTCACCCAGATCACGTTTTTAAGTACTGTTTGGACAATGTGTTAATAGCTCTCTTGGGGTAGGATTAGAGTTACGATTAGGAATAGATTTAGATTTTGTATTATTTATTCTAATTTGTTTTATCATCCACATTTTGCCAGTAAGTGGTCGTCGATTCTCTTACTGGGAACCACAGTAATTCAACCCAGGGCTTTTGGGGAAGACTGCAAAACTGGATAAGAGCGATAAAAGGGTCACAAAACAAACTCACGTAAAGTCATCTCGGTGAATACACATGTGCAGATACTGGTCCAACTAAAAAACTGATACTCCTTATCATAATAGGGACGTATTTTCAAGTCATGTCAGAGAAAGATAGACCATTTAATGTGTTTTCATGCACTTTCTTGTAGATAAACGTCATTTTTTGTGCAAAAGTCACTTACCTTTATGGTTGGTCTGTTCAAGGTCGCTCATGAGCATCCGTTGGGATGCTATTGTTTAACTTTGCCGATCATCTCATGTTTTGGGATGAGCTGTCATCGAGGATAATGCCTTTTCTCATGTTTAGTGGAAACTCGCAAATCGACAGGTTGTAAATGTTTAAAATACTCGCCAAAGTCAACAATACTATTAGAGGTCACATTTTAATAGATTTAAACAAAATGAATGAGAGAAATTTTAGGCAATATCTTGATGGAAGTTGTGTTCGGTAACCCAAGTGTTAAGCAGGCCATAAGGTCTGTATATGCACATATGTTATTCACTAATCTCCCTTTTGAAATTCGAAGCCAGGTCACACTGTGCTGTAATCATAGATTTTACCACTGGGGTATTCGACCTCACGATTTGCTTGCTATAAGGCTGTAATGGATACCTTGATTGGGTACAAGGCAGTCACGAATATCATGCGTCCACATAAATAAACTGATAGAATGCAGTCTGCAGCATACGAACGACTAGATGCAAGACGTGAGATGCTACCTACTGCCCAATCAGGTAGAGTAGGTGTGTGGAATAGAAGCGGTCAATCACAGTTTAATTTTTCTCAAGCAGTTGCAACAGCTTATGTGATTTTTTGTAATGTGCTTAAAGGAATGCTGTAATTATGTCTGATATTATGTTCAGCAATTTTAAAGGTGTTTTTTATCGTGTCTTTGTTTTTACGCGGCTGAAATATCTATACGTGAAAAAACATCTGGCGGGATTGCTGTTATTCCCACCACGATAAATAATTATATATGTATTTATGGAGCTTTAAAGCGAATAAAACGGTATAAGGAATCAACTGTAGTGGAATAATTGTGTGTAAAGTCCTTCCAAAGCGACCTAATTACAATATTGACTTTTGTTTGGATGTATCAGCTAAGCTTGTACTTATTTTCCTCATTTGTGCTAAGCTATATGTCGTTGTCCTGATGTTTGTATAACATATGTTGACTTTTTCCTTATTATTTGTCTTTGTTCCTGTTCAATCTCTAATTTTAATGCTTCTCTTTGTGGTTGTGTGACGATAGGAATGATGTGTTATCTTACCACTGTGATTTCCTGTTGGTGAAGTCAAGGCTGGTTTGACTTTGGACTGTCTGTGGAAATTTTTCGGTGTGTGATTCTTGAAGACAGAGTTCTGATGCCCCATTTTGTTAGGAATATTCTTCTTAAGTCTCAGTTACTTCTTACGGTTGGTTTAGGTTAAGCGATTTCGTTGCATAATAATAGTTTTGTACTCGAGAAACTTGGAGGATCCAGACTTGACCAATGTCATATATATGTCTGATTTCCCACAAACTGGAAAATATGCAAGTGAAAATCAACAAGTTTGCGATAGAATAAGCATCCAGAGAAAATAGGACTTCAAGTGAACATAGAGAAAACAGAGGTGATGGAGATTCCTGGGCAACACCAACAGCAACAACAACAGACAACAATCAGCATAAATGTGAGAAATCTGAAAGAAGCAACCTCTTTCACCTACCCACCTACCTACCTGGGAAGCATCGTCTCAACTACAGGCAGACGGAACTGATGAGGATATCAAAGCAGCGAGGATCGGAAAAGCAGGGCAGGCAAGCTTTCATTATTCTCAATTCTGTGTGGAGATCAACAGCACTCAGCATGAAAATGAAAATAAGATCCGGATTTTCAACTTCAGTGTGAAGTCAGTGTTACTTACTATACGGATCAGAGACTCGGCGACGCGCCGCATCACGAAGGGTACTTCGGACAAACTACACACCTTCACCAACAGAAGTCTTCGCTCAATACTTCTCCTAAGATCAGACTGCCGGCCAGAAAAGATTAGCAACAAGGAGGGATCTGTGGCAATGAACGAACCAACCGAGCAGGAACCAATTGGGCAACAAATATGCAAAAAGAAATGGAGGTGGATCGGATTGGCCATACTCTGAGAAAACAAACCATCAAGTGAGTGACATCATACGCTAGGCTCTCTCTCTTCAGTGGAACGGGAGCTGGAATTGGCGAGTTGGTCGTCAGTGCAAGGGTGGGGTGACTTGGAGGAGGAGGAGGAGGTGAAATCGTGTGGGTAGACTTGTGGCACCAGGTGAAAACGTTGGCAGAGAACCGAACATGAAATGGAGATGTGCGGCTGAAGTCCTATGTTCCTCTGGTAACTAAAGGAGGTAATGATAATAAATAATAGTAGAGAACTTACTGGATCTGTATAACCGCCTAACAGCATTATTGAGGTTATTTTGCTTTTTGGTAGGTCATCACTGTTAAAAAGTACCACAGGTTTTATCACAAATAATTGTCTTTTCGCTGTCGTTGGAACACTTTGTGACTGCAAGTAACTTAGTGAAATTTTGGTCAGGTATCCAGTAGAAAGTAAAGATCTCTTTCCTGAGTTCAGATCATAGCTACTGGGTTCTGACTGCTAAACCAACTTTCGGAGGAAAGACAACAAACAGAGTATTTAGTAAATATTATTATTAATATTATTGTAATATTATGAACAGACAATGGGTCCTTCTTTTTCAAAAAGAATGGATCAACCATTGTTTCGAATTATGCATTGTTCACATGGGTTTGTTTTGGTATATTTTTAAATCTGGTTTTAATTCAATGAATAAATAATTAAATAATAAATAAGTAAATAAGCAATTCAATAAAAGTCATTTAAACAATAATTAATATCGTCCAAATGCTATGATGATGAAATTAATTAAATAATTAATTCACTAAATGAATAAATATAATTACATAAATCAGATTTAATAATTTGAAAGCAGAATATATGAAATGAATCACAACTATTTTTTTTGACGTCTTACAATTTTAACACTAACAACTGCTAATTAATTACCTGCACACTAAACCAAAATAAAACTTGATGAATTTGACGTGTGGAAGGAAGTAAATGCAATGTTTGTATATATACGTATAACCAAAATAATCAATTAAATATCGATTTATCCTGATAGCCAATCGTTTACTCCTGAAGAGTGAATGAATGACAGACAAACAAATGAAATGATTGGTAGACAATATACGCTCTCAGTCTATCAATTCAAGGTCACACTGCACTATCGTTATACAGACATGTTAAATTATCCAATCATCAGGCACTAAGTTAATATTAGAGTAAATATATATATGTATAATGAATGGCACTGCTGAGCATTATAATATGTAAAAATGTTTTGATTGATCTACGTGTTTCGAAAATAAATAAATGTTTTTCGATCAAAGAGATGACAAGAGATGTATTGAAATGTGTATTACGATAAGTAGTGAACCGTTATTTTTTTCTGTTGGAGAGCTTTACGATGTTTTAATCATGAATTTGTTTGTCCGTTTTGTTCGATTATGCTGTATACTGCATATCTGTAAAAGTCAATGATGCATGGTTATTATTGTCCACTACATGAGAAGACATTTTTCGCTGGCTTCTGAAATGAGTTTTCCAGGAACTTCTGTCACTTTATTCGCCATATTTCTCATATTTTCTGGTAACATACCTGTGAAGGAAGAACACAAAAAACAAAATTGGTAAATAGAATGTTACAATGTCATGGGCAATTGTAAACTGTAACAGTCCAAAAAGGAACTATCTAATAAGGATATAAGTATAAAACTTGGGCACTGTGACGGTAGAGTATAATTCCATTATGGATAAAATTTTATTTTGATAAGTCACACAATGGTGTTATACAGCAATATTTTCTGATGACCACGTTTCAAGCACAAATTATTGCATAAATTTATAGTCTCTACTGAAGGCCAGCCGGGGGAGTAGTAGGGGCTGGACTTGTTTCTTTTGAACACAGAGCACTGGTTGTTTGAGGCGAATTGCAATAGCCTCTGCTGTTTGGAGCATGCGGTACTTCGATGATTTTGGCAATTTATTAGGCACCCGGTAGGTGATCATAGAGAAGGATTCTTCAATTCTGGCTGGCTTTGTGGCCGGTTTGCACCAGATGGTCCAATATCAAACTGTTAATGGCTTTAACTACACCTTTACTTAGCCATAGTCGGATACGTTCTCGAGTGATCACGAAAAATCAAGTTCGTAGAGCAACGGCCAATATTACTCGCTCCACAAGCGCAGTTGAATTGATATATAGATAGATAGAAGTGGCTAGTCTAGGTACTTCATATTTCAGTCGATCGTGTAGAGAATAATACGTGCAGTTCGTCAGCATTAAAAGTTCTTTGAACTGATTTTCTTAATTTCTTCGTAACTATCTCACCTGGTATATCACCCTTAAGTTGCAGTAGTATATAAAGTGGCTTCTTGTTTACGGATAGTGAGTAGGCCCTTTCCTTTTCCTAATATCTTTCCTAATTTTTCTGACATTCAGCTTATTTTATGTTGATGTTATTGAACTGTAATCCACTGATATCATTGCTGATTTGATGTTATTTAAACATTAATGTTGTTCATAAGACTAATTTATAATTCAACTTTATAAACTTTGAGAAGGCCTTCGACAGCGTTGACCGCGAAGTAATTTGGAAACTACTCGAGTACTACGGCGTACTCCAAATATTCATCAACCTTATTCAACAGCTGTACGACAACGGCACATGTCAAGTGATCCACAACGGAAAAGTCAGCGAGGCTTTTGGAATAAACACAGGAGTCAGACAAGGGTGCTTATTATCGCCAATGATATTCCTAATTGTGGTGGACTGGATTATGCCTCAGACAGTGGGAAACGAGAAGACAGGGATATCCTGGACCAACGTGAAGAATCTAGAATACCTAGATTTCGCGGATGAATTATGTTTGTTGTCACACAAAATCGAAGACTTACAAGCGAAAACCGACAAACTGGTCGAAGAAGCAGCCAGAGCAGACAGGACTGCAGGTGAACATAGACAAGACGGAGGTTATGAAAATAACCAACCAACAACAACAAAAACAGCAGCAACATCCAGTGCCAATCACCATCAACGGGAGGAATTTGAAAGAGGTCACTTTATTCACTTATCTAGAGGGAGCATTGTCCCAACTACAGGAAGAACGGACGAGGATGTCAAATCAAGAATTGGGAAGGCGAGAAACACATTCATCAACCTGAAACCAATCTGGAAATCTTCGTCACTCAACCCAGTATCAACAACAAAATTCGGATTTTCAATACAAACATCAAGTCAGTCAGTTCTTCTTTACGGATCAGAAACTTGGCGGATCACAAAGAATATTTCTAACAGGCTGCGAGCCTTCATCAACAACAAACTGTCTTCGCTCTATACTGAAGATCAGATGGCCGGAAAGAACAAGAACCAACAAGAAACTATGGGAACAAACAAAACAAGAACCAATCGCTCAACAAATATGCAGGAGAAAGTGGAGACGGATTGGACACTCGCTGAGGAGGCAACTGGGTGACATCGCACGTCAGGCCATAGCTCGAGTGGAACCCGAAAGGGAGTCGGCGAGTGGTTCGTCGGTGCAAGGGTGACATGGAGGAGATCGTGTGAAGAGGAGTTGAAACAGTATGGATTAACATGGATGCAGGTGAAAAGTACAGCAGAAGACAGAAGCAAGTGGAGACGTGCAGTTGAAGCCCTATGTTCCACTAGGAACCCAAAGGAATAATGATATTAATAAAAGACTAATTCATTCATTCATTCACTATAATATATATATATATATGTAGAGCCTGATGATGAAGAGGTCATCGAAAAGAGTATTCTTTGTTCAGTGTCCATTCTTTTGAAAGTTTATTAGGCATTTAGCATCAGTTAAAATAGTGAGTATTTTCCAACAACTTATACCAATTAGTTAGTGGTATATTGCATCACAAAGTTTTGCTTCGTTTATTGATTGACATTTGTATGGTCAAATAGATCAGATATTATTATCTGAGTATAACAGATTTGTTAAGGAAACTATTGTGAATTTTTAAGTCGATTGGTGGATGGTGACTAGCAGTGAGGTTCGCCACTGGATGTACCTGCATCCCGCCTGTCAGTGAATGATGGTGTTCCCAACCGGGATCGAACCCAGTACCCACCGTTTTAAGCTTCAGCGCGTTATCCACTAGACGACTTGTGCAACAGGTACCAGTTATCATGTGGCTCAAATCGGATTTTCCCATTGATTGAACCGAAGTGCTCGGCCTCTGTCGGCTCAAACATATCCACATTGAATTAAACAACACCAATCAGTGCTTCAAAACATAGAGAGTTGTTCAGCAGACATGATTTTGATGTATAAAGTATTGATCTTACACTTTATTGGATTACACAACTACGGTTTCAGTTGACCTACTACTGCCTATACGATAGATAGCCTGCTAAAAAATTCTAATCAAGTTAGAAGCAATGCTAAATAAAAATTAGATAGAACTGTTTGTACTACTAAGTAGCCTGCCTCAAAAGTAGTATAAAAATATTAACACAAATATTTTTACTTGTCAAAATATTTTCATCTTCAGCTTCATTCGCTTCAGCAGCCAGTTCAGCTGGTGTTTTACGTTTACGACCAAGACGACCTTCTGGGCTTGAAAAATCGAAATCATTTGGAATTTCTTCTTCCTTCTTTTTAATTCCATACTAAATTAAGAAGAGTGAAAAAAATAACAGAGGGATCTTTGATATTACTAAATTATGGAATAATGCTGTTAATATTAATACCAATATTATTATTATCTGCTTTAGTTTCTAGAGGAACACAGGGCTTCAGTCACACGTCTCCATTGCGTTTGGTTCTCCGCCAACGTTTTCATCGCCTGGTTCCACGTCTGCCCACACGCTTTTATCTCCTATTCGCATCACCTTCTCCATGTCACCCCACCCTCGCACTGATGACCAACTTGCCACTTCCCATTCGGGTTCCACTCAAGCGATGGTCTGACGTGTGATGTCATTCACTTGATGGTTTGTTTTCTCAGAGTATGGCCAATCCAATTTACCTCCATTTCTTCCTGCGTATTTGTTACACAATTGGTTCCTGCTGGGTTGGTTCGCTCCCAGAGATCCCTCCCTGTTGCTGATCTTCAAGTGAAATATTGGCCTGCAGGACATCCTTTGATGAAACTTTGTTAGTACCGCACTGTTTTCAGAGTCCTGAATTATTTTTGTCTTCAAAACAGACGAACAGTTATGTGGAAAGCCATTCACAAATGCATTTGAATATAGTTTGTTCTTCATAAACGTAAATAGGCGGGTAAAACAAAGTATAAGTGAATAGATTTTTCACACGGTGCTGTGTAGATAATTAGGTAGCCCCATAATTTTGATAAAAGGTCATTGTCAAAAATTTATTTATTAGATTAAATTATCAATCACGATCACATCAGCTGACCATATACTCCCCTATACATCAATTACATATTTATTTTTCAAGTATTGATTTTTGTAGGGATTCAGTTTTGATTGGTTGGATGATTTCGTCATGAGCCGATATCAGTTAGAGAACCATTGGAAAACCACCTGGGAGTATATGGCAGCTGTTTCGTTCTAGTTTTGGACTCTTCAGCAATACGCACCAACCGGGTGCAGTAGGTTGAAGGTGAGGCAGTAACTCATCGAAGAAGACATTGCGAAGTGGTGGCGCTATGTCATGATTTGGCAGAAGTTAGAATTCATGGACCGGCCATTGGATATGCGGATCCCAGTGGCTTAATTGTCAACGAGCTGGCTAACCTTGTACCAGAAGGCCCTGAGTTCGAACCCTGGAGATGGGTGCGTACTACCGATGAAGAGTTCCAAACTAGGCTGACGAAACAGCTGTCCAGTACTCCCGGGTGGTTTTCCAATGGTTCTCTAACTGATGTTAGCTTGCGATGAAATCCTCCAATATATTTATTTATTTATGGAATCGTAGCTTCTCTATTACTCATAGGTACAAGCAGTACAAATATTGTGTGAGGCATTCTTATGAATCCACGAGAAGATATACCGTTCGAATAACAGTTGATATCTCTTGGTCAATGTGTGGTCTTTGTAACTCTCCAATCAAAGAGATAAGAAACAAGCGTTTCAAGCATTGACTGCTTTTTTCTGGTGCCAGTGGGGGAATCATCACATCTTTATATATACGTCCAGATTAGGAGTCGTGATTACAATGAACTCTACTTCCAAGTACCATCAAAACACAAATACGCGTACGGACAACAATTACAGTAGTCGGAAAAGATTTAATTAAATTGTCACTAATCGTATTTAAAAAAGTCTAAAGTCAGGATTAACAAAAATTACGTATACAGTATTAAGACAATATTAGATCAGTCTTGTAACCGATCAAATTCCTGTGGACCAACACTGGACAACTAATCTGAAGTATACTAGCAACTGGCTCTATACAGGAAGTCACCTGAAGTCCTAGTGAGAAGTAATAACCAGTGGCGTCCACTAAGTCTAGAAAGAGAACAGTTGTTTGACTAGGACACTGGATGGCCATTGCGTGATATATGCATTTCACGAATTGACAGAAGCTGGAATCTATAGACTGGCCACTGAATCAGGTCCCAGTGGCTGAATCATATACGAGCTTTGTTGGTATTAGATGGTTGAAGGTAATCGGCCACAGGAAGCCTTCGACCTAGGTTTCGTGCTAGTTGGCGCTCATCAGCAAGGCGTATCTGCAACCTTGAAGGAACTGATGTCCCTTCTGAGATTTGAACCCGCATCACCCAGTGCTGCAGCCAGAGACGTTACCACTGAGCTATTCAGGCTGGCGACTGGCCTCCTGTAAGACTGTATTGGATATTTTTGATTGAACACTAGTCAGTAACTAGTGTAATGTGTCTAGTCCTGTCTTCGGTGCAGACTGAATTCTATCAGTCATGTTTGCAATTCGAGCTTTCCTCGTAACTGGAAGGTACTGGGTTAAAACCCAGATAGTGTGTGCGTACTGCCGAAGAGTACCACACTAGAATCACAGAAACAGCTGTCCAGTACTCCCTGCAGGTTTTCCGATGTTTCTCTAACTGATATCAGCTCGAGATCCATCTTGTAACCAATATTAAGTCCACTGTAGGTCGATTAACTGAACAAACTTCTTCTTCAGGTCATAACGTGTGGACTGCCATCGCTTCTACAGTTTGAAGAAGTTCGATTTTCACTCCTACAGTAAGATTTTCGCGTACTCTGTAGATGATTATGGTGAATTAGGTTTGCTAGTTCACTTGGTGTCTGTAGTCGATCGCGTGTTCCAGAATACACCTGTGGAGGGGGATATTTATTTCTTTGATAAAACAATGTAGGTAAAGGTTGAGTACCACCAACGCGTCTACCTGCATCGGAGCAGGTAAATTGACAGACACACATTTAATAGGCCAGCAGTCGTATTTCTTCATCATTCAGTTGTGCCGCATCATCTATCGCGTTAGTATACTTTAGTTTGCTCACAGACCTGTAACTCATTCCCAGTAGATCAACTTTCTTGTTTTCATACATTCATTCCCCTTAATGAATTTGAACAAAGCAAGAACTACAGTTTTTGCAGAATAAAGTGGTACCATCTTTTATTTCGTTGCCTTCTCGCCAGCTGCTTACAGGCCAAAGACATTATTAAGTATATCTACAGAAACAATTTTAACATACAAAAATCAATCGATCAATATATGCATACAATAATAATATATACATATATATATATGTAACATTAAACACTATTCCGAACAATAATGATCATACACAATGGAAACTTTCGACAGTAACAGAAACCTTCGGCGTAATCAGATGAAAGAGAGTTGAAAATATCCAGTTACCAGGGCAAAGAAAGACTGACAACTGTTACTTTCCGAACGCACAAATCAGGTTTCAGGCGCTTGATGGAAATGGCTTCAGCAAACTTGAGGAGTACTGAGCTCTTTTGCCTATTGATAATTTTGAACGACTTTTCGACATTCACCTCATGATCTGTGTCGAGGAGATTCCTGGCGATGGCACTGTTTAAAGCATTTGTTCCCTTTAGACATGAGCTTTTTGGTACATGTTCAGAAAATCGTAGATATGCTCTTTTTTCTGTTCTTCCAATGTAACTGCTCCCACAGATACATGTGAATTTGTATATACAGTTGGAGTTGTTAACATGAGAAGGATATCTATCGATTTTTGATTGCACCGAAATAGAGCAAGTTGTTCGATAGATGGGGAAGAGCTTAGCTGCAAGGATAGGCTATAGCTAGTGAGGTACTCAGCCTTCTGTTGATCACTGCTGCAATGTTTTCACCTTTATCATCAAGTTGAATGTAGATTGGCTTTTTACCCACTGTGATTTGTTTTACATTTGTGACTTCAGATCTTCCATACTTGTTGATGAACCTTTGAGGGTACCCATCGCTCTTCAACATCATTTCAGGGAACTCAAGTTCTTCCTCTAATTTCTCTGTAGAGCATATTCTTCTGGCTCTATAGCACAGAGTCTTGACTAGACCACGTTTAAAGCTATTCGGACAAAAGCTATTAAAATGTAAGTATTGTCCTTTCCATGTAGGCTTTCGATAAATTGACTTTTGAAGACTACCGTCTTCTAGGCGTCCCATGGTAATGTCGAGGAAGTGAAACTTTCCGTCACTTTCATGCTCCATAGTATACTCGATATTGGTGTGTGCATCAGTGATTAATCTGAGTAAGTGTGAAGCATGATTTTCTTGTTTTCTCACTGATGGTGAATGTAACCGGATGGTGAACAAAGCCAGTTTCAACTATATAAGAGTTATAACCATAACTTTATTCTGGACAGTATGTTTGATTGTGCTAGACCAGAGTGTTCGACCTCTGTAGACACGTTGGCTCGTAGTATGAACGATTCGACGATGTGTAATAGTGTTCCCAGTGAGACACTCAAACCGTGCACCCATCGTTCCAAATGCCGAAACATTATCCATTTATCCCTCGTAGCCAAGTGACGAGTCCGAAAAAGGACGAAACTAACATACTGATTCATGTAAATGTCATCACACTACTCAAATCAATAAGTCAGTAGTATATAGCGTCTACACAAATACTTTATTCGAGGAGATAAGGAAAAAAGCAAGTCTGCTTACTTTATCTCTGATGCCCTGACGCATTACTTCTCTTTCTTCTTCCATTTTACGATGTTTAGCCTCTCGTTTCTCTTCGGCTTCACGTAATGCTGCTTCCACTTCTGGATCGATTTCTTTACGTCCGCCAAGGACACCTTCTCCTTCATCTTTTTTATCACCCAAAGCACCTAAAAGTGATATGTGAAGAAGAGGAAGAAGAAGAAAAGGGCGAAATATATTCAATTCCTTTTTACTACACAAAGTCGAGTGAATATGTTGTACATTTGGCCTACCGTAAAATCAATGCTGTTTAAACTGCATATACTTAATTCAACAGGCTAAACCTCAGCCCCTCCTCAAATATTGATTATAAATCGTTGTTTTAGACGGTAAAATTTGCGAAAAGTGAGTTTCCTCCTTACCAGTACTTTAATTTAAAAGATCCACAAAAGACATTTTATTATATATTTCTGTGGAATATCCAAACTCAAAACACCAAACACAATGAAGTCAGATTGTACAAACACTCCAATGAAATTATGCGTTATAAATCATACTACTATTGAGTAGTTAAAAATTTAGACTAAATTTTGTTGGCTTATGGATGGTGATTATTTCAAGTTGGATAACGAGCTGATCTTAGTTGGTCGACCACTGAAAGCCATCAAAGGGCATTGGGTAGCTATTTCGTCATAATTTAGAACTCTTCAGCAAATTCAAAACCAGCACCTTCAGGTTACGAGGCGTGCTTTTCGATCATTCACGCCATAAACTATAGCTTGTGTTAAATCTTAAAACGTTGATTCGGTTGGGTGGCTGGATATGAAACTGGCTAGCCTCGTAGCCTAAAGGTCCTTTCTTTGAAGTCCTGTATTGGTCATGATTACACAATACTGAACAGCAGTCAAGTGGGATGGAACATCCCTTTTAGTTCTCCCTTCTCATTTTCAATGTTTCTCTAACTGATTTCAACTCATGGTGACATCTAACTTGAAGCCAATTGAATCTCTTCGGAAACCAACACTGGTAAACTATTATTTCAAATAAACTAAGCCTCACCTTTCACTGAATCCAATTGGTTTCCAATGAGTTGTTTTGCAATGAAACTAGCCATCTTTTAACTGTATGTATGTAGAAATCTGCTGGGTTGAGTTGTGATGATTCGACTTAATTTCGTACTGGATTGTGTTTCCTCACTTCCTTAGGCTTTTATTCTTTTACTATAGTCTCTGATTTCTGTGGCATTTACTAATAACTCTGAAAAAGAAGAAGAAAACGTAGATAAAAACAACTCATTCAAAAATGCAGTTACGTAATGGGGGTAATAAATGGTTCGTGATTTGTTCGTGATTTTAGAAAAACAAACTTATCGAACTTGAATGTGTAAGAACGGTTCACTAACGTAGGCTTTGTGGGAGGAGGGAGTTGACTAAGTAAGTGTTAACAGGACTATGATACATAGTGATCTTTAGAGTGATATGAGAAATTCTGAGATCATAAGTAGCAACTCATGTTGTAGAAATGGTCAGATAGTAGCAGTTTAGACAAAGATAAGAAAAATACAACTTTGATTGTAGTCTACGATGAAGGGTGATATCATACAACTATTAAGTCAGAAGTGGGACCAAATGCACCTTAAATTCTATAGTACTTCATTGGACTATAAGCCTACTATGAGCACCTACGGTTCAATAGTAGAGTGCTCACTGACCACTCATATAGTCTAGCTTCGATTGCCGGTCGACGCATTCCTAAACCTGGCTTAGTCACATGTAAGAACAATAAAGAGGGAAGGTTGAATGTGAGGTCAGCAATCTTTGCATGTTCAACCAACATCACCCCTACTAAAGCTTAGCCTTGATAAGAAGTAGGGGGATAGTTGAACGATTTATTCAAGTATCTCAGATATATAAACCAAACTGTTGGCTTGGTTGCCTAAATACTTCATCAAGCCTCCCTTCACAAATATGCCAGTGGGGGTGGGGGGGAAATCTGAATATCTGTCAAAATCTTTAGAGTCTCGCTAATAGTTTCCTTCCAAATTAATCTCACTACTTTGTTTTATTTAACAATCTAAAATCGCCAATTTGCCCTGCATATTTCTTAATTCATAATTAGGGTGAATATCACAAAAGGATTCCTAATTTAATCAATATGAACACAGCAACAGCCACTATTTTCTCAACTATATACAACTGAAAAGTCTGCAATTAAGGGAAATTAAGGGAATTTATGTTTAATGTCACACAAACTCGAAGGGCTTCAAGCTAGAGGCTTGAAGATTCGGTAGCAGTGGTTTTTTTAATTTTTACGAGATCATGTTGCTAGCCAGCCTCATGAGCAACCTTCTTCCTTTACCAGTCGTATTACTGGCTTAGCGAGGTGAAGGAGTGCGTCGGTGGCCAGGGATCGGACCGCGAACCACATGCACCATCAGCGAGCATTCTACCGCTGTGCCATCGACGCGTTGGATAGTGCGAGGTAATTGGTGGGAAGTCTTGAACCTGGGTTTAGTAAATTTTAGCATTTAGCAACAAGATATATCTATAAAAAGCAAGTCGAACTTGATTCATGAAGTGCTGCAGTCCAAGATGTCACTACTATGCCATCCACACAGATGTTACCATTACACTTTTGGAACAGAATGGAAAGTGTCTAAGAATTTAAGATCCCATCGATCTCAATCGTCAAAGTTGAAATCTTTAGGTCACATTTTTGGGAGAAAGTTCTATCATTGCCTTGTCCCCATAAACGATCTGGTGTGGCCAAGCATAGGTTAACTCGGGTCTTCCACACCTATAAGCGGACTGGTAAGCATTAAGATAAACGAAGGGAAAAGAGAAAATCCTGATTCCAAACCTGTGGTAGTGTACTGGGGCTGTAGAATTAGGAGGGGTCGAATGGCATATAAACCTGTTTTGATCACTGGAAACCACTGGAACGTAGTTACTGACACTTCTCCACAGCCTTGTTAATCACACTTTAAGTCAAGGGCTTGACGGATGACTCATTAGGCCGACCGCTTGCTTCGGTCTGCGCTTCCAGGCAGTATTTTAGCCCTTGTACAAATTATTAGGTTTTGTGCGGCCCACCTCTTAGTGCCAATAATGCACCAGGTTTGTGTTTTAGGAACTAGCTGTAAGAAGAAGGATCACCTTTATCCTCAGATATTTCAGATGAACTTTTTCTCACTATCTGGTTAAATGAAACCCTTATTTATAAATAAGCGTCACCTAACATTGGGGATCCCAACAGTCGGTTCGACAAATAGATAACATGAATACCATATTAATGTGATGTTCAAATAAAAACTTGGCATCACTCTATGAAGTGTTTGACAAATACTTTGAGCCAGTCACATAAGGAAGTGTGGACTACCTTTCCTCTTTACCGGTCTCATTAACAACTTAGTGAGGTAAAAGAGTGCGCCGGCTGGAGATCAAACCATGAACCACATGCATGGTTGGTGAGCATTCTACCGCTGTGCCACCAACGCACATATTATTCATTACCATACAAGGATAAGCAGCATGGTTTAATTCCAACAACACCGACTTCGTTTGTTGAAAATTTATAGAATAAAATATAATTTGGGTAATTGACATTTGGACGGAATTAGATGCCCTTCCTATCACTCCTTTCAACAGTACATAAAGTAAAACTGGATTGAACAAAAATGATAAGCGAACTCGTGAAGCATTACATGTTTTCTGGAGATGTTGCTCATTTGACTTAAGTGCTAGATTTTTGGCTTAATATCCCCGTGCCTTACAAGATAAGTGTGGTTCTTGACTGACTGATTTCAACATAGAAAGTTGCACAGGTGTGCAGCAGTTCGAGTTCCCACTCTCCCTTCATGTACCACACAAAAATGAGAAGACAGTAAAGACACATAATAAACAGAAATATGAGGCGAAAAGAATAGTACTGTGGAAGAACAGTAGAATTTTATTGGATATTATAAATCCCAAAGAGTGAATGCATTTGCGCCATTGACAACAAGGATTTTGAGCTATATCACCAATTTTCTCCAGCCTTCATGGATTTTCAATTACCCTTCCAACCACCCCAATCAGGAACCCAATCTACACATCCGTATGCGGCTTACTTGCTTAAACGAACTACTATGGATTTCATTAACTGACGATGCCATATTTTGGTTTGACCACCACTAGCTCTCTCTTTTCTAGCCTGATCCTATGTCAGTCAGGAAGGCAATGCCTAGTCATGGGTCACACATGTCCTCATCAGCAATAACTCAATTAGGTCTGATGCAACTTCCCAAATAAGTGAAGTGGTCAACACGCTCTACCAAACACTTCACTTCCTCTCTATCTCTAAACTAGGAATGTGTCGATGTTATCCAGTCCTGTAGCATTATCTTACATTTGACAGGGGCGAATCGCGCGCCAAACATTCGCAGATTGCTGCTCAGCTCAAGGTGTCTAGAACACTCTGCCGTATTTTTTCAGCATCTTCACCTAGGTGAGAAGACTATATCATCTGCATGTTATAAGTCAACCAGATGGACATCACCGGTTGTCGCCACTCCAGATGACAACTCTCCGTAGACTCTTGCCAGGCTGGCTGCATGAGTTCGACTAGAGTGAGTGCCTTGATCAGTGCAATGTATTTTCTCGGTATTCCCTACAAAGAAATACATCTATTCCAGGCAAATCGGTTCAAACAAATAGATCCTATTCAGAGTAAACTATTTAGCTGTTCAAAACGCATGTGTATAACCCCCACCACACTCAAACAGAAACATCTAACTGATGGTTTCTTTCGAATACAAACTATCATATATGTCTTTCAAACCTTAAAATCCTAATCCTCTTCAAAATACATTACAAAATTTCAATTTCATACTAGTTACTAATTGATGTCATTCACATAGTCCCTCCTCTTTCTGATTCAGACTGAATTCTATCAAACAATCAGGTTTGTAATATGGCCAACATACTAGATGGCTCACCATCGTATTGCAATCTGAAATGATGTTAGATGGTTGAAAGCAATCGGTTGGAAAGCTCTTCCCTGATTTCAGTCTTTTGATTGTCGACACTTTTCAGCCAGCAAGGTATGTCTACAGTCTTGAAGGAACTCATGTCTCACCGAGTGAGATTCGAATCTGACTGACCCACTCAATGATGCAGTCAGAGGTGTAACGATTGAGTTATTCGGGCTAACAATATTAACTACTTTTCATTAGAGAGTTAAAGATAAGACCTCAATTGTTAAACAAAATCATTCATACGTATGATAATAACAATAATAGTAAACAATAAGTGTTTTCATCCCCTTTTTCCGTTTTTTTTTCATATGGTCACATGATCGTTTTATTGACTGTTATATTGATTGCTACTTTTTAATTTAACCTTAACGCAACTTAGAGGAAAACAAAAAATTCTAAAAAAGCTAAAAAACGGAATGATTGAACAGATTAACAAACGGAATATTGAGAAAAACAATGGTTGTTATGGTTTACTATTGTGCGCTCGCGTTTGTGTGTGTGTATGGGGGTGGGTGGGTGGAAGGGTGTGTCGTAAAACATTATTAATGAGGCGTGATATATTACATAGTGGGCTGAACAAATCAAAGTTTATTTACTCCTTCCAAAGGATACTACTATCAGTAGTATAAAATTAATTTCGAGAAAAGTAACCAAGACTGTTAGAACTGAATCATTTGAATAGCATGAACCAATAGCAGTTAGGGCGGTGATTGAGAACCATGAACTCTTCATCTGTGCACGCCTAAGAACCTATCAGGGATCAAACCCAAGACCTTCAGGTTATGAGACGAAGCTCATCGATTATTCGGACTATCCAATAATCCGTGATCTCTTACTTTATCAACTCTTGTAATACAGCGCTACCCTCAACCAGTCAGTGCCTTAGATGAGCATCCATTTTCACCTTGACATGGCGGACCGCACTGGTCACGACTTCACAGAGAGAAGCTTCCAGACAGATATCCAAACTGGGACGTCCGAAAATAGGACAAAAAAACCAGATTTCCAGTGCCCCCTGCTCGTTTTCAATGATCAGTCTCATTGATGTTAGTTTACAGCGACATATAACAATTGAAGTCAAATCAGAACCCTGCAAAAAT